TATCAGAAAGCTGGCACAGTGCTAAACCTCAGTAGGACCAAAAAGTAACATAACATATCCTCATTCCATACATAGAAGAATCCTGTCAAGGTGCTGGAGAGTTGTCTCATTTGCTACAGTTGCTTCATGCTTGCTGCACAAGCATGAAGACATAAGTTCAGATATCCAGAACCCTCATCAAAATAGTTGATCTGGCTGTGTACACCTGTAATAGCAGAATCCCAGGATGAGGATGTATAGATGAAACAATTGCTCTGGTTCACTGGTGGGGAAGCCTAGCTGCCTAGCTGAAATCTAGGAGCTTCATGTACAGTGGGAGACCTGTCTCAAGGAGGATAAGTATAAAAACCATAGAGCAAGACACTGATGCTCTGCTCTGGCTTCCTCACTCACACACACACACACACACACACACACACACACACACACACACACACACACCTGTGAAGCTTGTAGACCCACAGACCTAATTGAGCTGTCCAGACTTGGAGTAGGTAATCAAAATATCACAGCCAGTCTTTAAAGTCTTGAGAATGAAAACAAAGAGAAGAATAGAAATGGTTTCACCTTCCACAGATTTTGGAGGGTGTGGTGTCACAGGCTACAGCTAGTTTGCCATGTGCTGTCCTGTATTAGATCGGAGTCCAACCTCCAAGGAGGTCAAATCATTGGATCCCATTAAACAGGCCTGGCTCCTGTGACATAGCTCTCTTTGGTATTCATGCCCTTGCTATTTTAGCAGAGAGAGACTCCTTGAGAAGTGTCAAATGTGCCAAATTTAAAATCTCCGAGGTAGCAGTTTCTGCCTTTAAAATATTCCTCAGCTTCTCCCCCAAGTGCTTCCTATTCCTCCCTTGCCATTTGAATCTCTGTAGGAATTCTGAGTCCACCACAGAGCTTTGGACCGAGAATGTATCTCAAATTATGCTTCTATATTCTTTTAATTTTTAAAAATTCTGCATGCTCAGCACTTTGGAGACTCATCTATTTTACAAATGCTTGAGTAAATTTAATTGTGTCTTATTGAAAGCCCTTCCTCACCACACTGTCATTTATTAATAACAGGGGGAACCAAGATGCTTGGAGTGTGGTTATTATTAAAGACACCTCGGATTCATGCAAACCCACTCTTTGAATGAATTTGGTGCAACTTACACATGCTAGCTCACAAAGGGCTGGGATGAGACCTAGATTTGACAGCCAGTGCTCTCACAGCCCTGTTGAGCAAAGCCCTTAGTCTTGGTTCCCATTGGTGAGACAGGAGGGTGACATGGGACACTCACTTCCATCCCTTTCTGTCCTAAACTATTAGAATTTAAATGGCTGAAAAGAGAAAGAGCAGGAGACCTGCAAAGGCTGGACAATATGAAAAGGATATATGTGAGGAAATTACCATATGTATTGGGTGTGTGTGTGTGTGTGGTGGAAGGGGGTGCATTTGCTCCAGCCTGCATTTGTGGAGACCAGAGGTAAGCCCCTGGTATTATCCTCTGTCAGTCTGTACCTTAATTTACTTTTTTTGAAGAAAGCTCTCTCACTAACCTTGAGTGCCCCTTTTCTGTTGTACTTTCTGGACAGCCAACTACTCAAATCCACCCGTTTCCTCCCGACCCTGATGTTGCACTCACATATCACTAAGCCTGGGTTTTATGCAAGTGCAGGATCCAAATTCAGGTCTTCAATATTGCACAACAAACACACTATCCCCCCCCAAAGTCCATCCCCTGAGCCCCTACCTTGACTCTTTTGAGTACGAACACTTGCTATGAGATATGTTACTGAGAATTTGACTGGAAACTGTGAAGAGCAGTCATAGTCTAACTTCCCCCTCTTGATGGGTCATAGAACTCTCTTTCTCTGCCTCTGTTGAAAAGTGCTTAGAGAGCCATGGGTGATGGCTACCATAAAGGGCCCAGTTTTCTAAGGAGCATTAATTTGACCAGTCATGATCTCTCTAGAAGCCACACCAGCCATAAGCTTGAGAGTATATGAATACTCTCAGCTTCCCTAGCCTTCCCCTTCCTCTTGTCTCTTTTGTCTCCCAACTCTCAGGATGTCCGTGGCAGTTTCAGAAGGATAGGAATGACTCCAGACCAAATCTTTGGCCTGTGTCTTTATTTGGTTATCCTCTCTTGGATCTTGGCCCAGTAATCTCTACCTTCCAAAGCCCCAAGGGTGGATCTGCATCTCTTGGCTTAGCAGCTTGAACCTAATGACTGAATGAATGGCAGGGAAACTAGGCAGAAATAGAACTTGGCTCCCAGATGGCACCCTTTGGCCAAGAAAAATGGGTTTTATGTCACACATCATCCTTTTAGTGGATAGGTAATAGGCATCCAACTTTGGGAGGATACTCTCTTTTCTCTCCTCATTATCCTGGAGATGGAGACATTTTCTCTCTCACCTTTCTTGTCTAAATGGGTCTCACTGGAGCCCAGTACAATCCATGGACCTGTTGTACATTACTTTCTGGAAGCTGCAGGCTTGGTGCAGTGCCATCCTAGAAGCAGCAGGTCTTCTGCAGGGTTAGGTTAGAAGGTAGCAAGAGTCTTCCAACCTCACCCACTGAGGCAGAAGGGGGCAACAGAATCATTTTCTAAATTCATAGCAACAAATAGTATGACATTTATATACCGGAGGATTATTGAGTTTCCCTAATACCTAGTGTGTTGGTTTTTCAGTCTCCATGCCAAAATACCAGAAGAAAACCATTTTAAAGGAGGAAATATTGTCTCAAGAGTTAAGAAGTTTCGGTTTATGGCCCTTTGTCCTGAAGTAGAACATCATGACAAGGAGGGTTTGTCATAGCAAAGCTGCTCAGCTCAAAGTGAAACAAAGGCAAGGGACATAGTATGCTCTTCAAATACACCTACACACCTACACACACACACACACACACACACACACACACACACACATAAGCATCACACACTTCTGTCCAGCCCCACCTCCTAATAGGCCATTCAGCCTATGGATTTCTCAATGAGTTAATCCCTTAATGAGGAAAGCATGACCCAATCATCATTCAATAACACCTTAGTCTTCAATACACAAACCTTTTACGGGGACATCTTCTATTAAACCATAACATACTCCCCAAACAAAAAGAAGTCAATTTTCCTTATGAAGAAAAACTCCCGATTTTTCAGCCTGACACTTGGAACTGATACTTGGAACTGATGTACAGTTTTGAGTGTAAAACAACAGGCCTTAAGTACACTTGAACCACATTCAACCTCTGCCACATATAACCTGAGCCACATGCCACACCCTATTCGCTCAACTCAGTCTCATTGCATAAGGAAAGCGGCTCTGCTGACCATGCAGTATGCAAATATCTTTCTATTCTTCATCTTTCTGTGAAGAGCAGCCAATTCCTGGGGGACTCCCGCTAGAAGAATTTGCACAATCTATATCATGAGTGCATTTGGGATAGAATGACTGTAGCGTCCCACTCAGCTCTCACTTGAGGAACCTTGCCAGCAGCCCAAAGGATACAACTTTACAAACTGTGTTCTGGATTGATAGCATGAAAATTTTCCCAGTCAGTGAAGATAGCAGCAAGCTTGTAACTAAATTCAGTGACGTCAGAATAATCCATATGATAGAGAAGGACAGAATGAACGTCATCCTAGTCACACACCCCCACACCTCTATTCAGAGGCAGACAATGGATGACCAACAGTCTAATCCACCCCACTGCTAAGCAATACCCGTTGATCATGCTTTTTGCCCATTTTCACCCCTTCTCTTGCCTGCCACGGTGGTTTATGCATTTGACTCTGGACCTCGTCATGTCTTTTCAGAAGCCTATTAGGGACAAGATATTCCTTTCCAAAAAACAAAAATAAAAGAACCCACTGGATTCAGAGAGGAGGTGGTAATAGAGTAAGAAAGAACTCCAGGAGGAGACACATTGTCAAAGAACCAGGCAGGAGTTATGGGAAACTATACCTAAGGTGCCTTACACGTGTGTTCTCTATCAAGGTCTGCATCAGCCAGCCATACTAACCTGATAATGTCTTCACTGCTTGGATTTGCTTTTCTGGGAATTTTGGTTTTTCTCTATCACTGTGCTCTATACTGGTAGATGGGTTCAAGTGAAAAATACGTGAAACCTTTTGTTTTGTTTTAAGACCAGAATAGATTTTAGCCTGCAAAGACAGCAATTAGACGTACTTAAAATATTCTTTCCTTAGGCAAAAGAAGGAATTGTCTAATCTTTCTTCAGAGTACACATTATGAAACCCTGGAGACACTCAGGCCAGATGGCCATGAAACACTTGAAGTGCCTCACCCTTTTTCTGAAATGAGGGCATTCTAGCTGGATCGCCTACTGCAGACCCGGATTTCTGTACACACTCTTGTATGAGCCCTTTCCTTCCTCACATACAGCCCAGAATATTCCTTCACTACCACATCACCCTACACAATTTATCACTTGAAAAGACCTCCTAAGCCACAGTGCAGTGGCTTCACACAAGAAACCACATGGCCTCAGAGCTTGTAGAACGAACTATGACTGTGACTGTATATGGGACATCCGACAGTGTATATAGTCTTTAAAACTTCAGGCTGAGACTTATGATTTCTTACATGCTAGTTTTATATGGTAGCTTGCTATGTGTTTTTTTTTCCTCTAAAGGTTATTTTAAACAAGAGCTCAATTCTTTCAAAAAACCATAGTAGGGTTGACGAGATGGCTCAGCAGTTATTGGTATCCGCTGCCAAGCTTGATGAGTTTCCTTCTTAGAACCTACAGGGTAGAATGAAAGAACTGGCCCTTTCAAGAAATTCTCTGACATCCCCCACAGTAAACAACAAAGGAAAAAAAAGTAAAGCTTCAATATAAAACATATTAACATAAAAATTTATTCAAACTTTTGGTGCACTCCTTATGCATCTAGGTGTTATGCCCTTTCCTGGGAGCACCTCGGAAACTTGTCACAGCCCCTTCCATCATGGCCCTAGAGTTCAAAAAATTTATTCAAACTTTTGGTGCACTCCTTATGCATCTAGGTGTTATGTCCTTTCCTGGGAGCACCTTGGAAACTTGTCACAGCCCCTTCCATCATGGCCCTAGAGTTCGGCGGTAAAGACAACAGGGCAGAGAAGCCATTGCTTGTCTCCCAGTTACAAAAATGAGACAGCCCAGCACAATGCCTGCCACATTCTTAAGTGCAAGACAATAATGAATTGGATAAAATCATCAAACTGAAAACACTGTGAGGATGGGGTAAAGTGCAAAATACACAGGAGAAACCAAGGGAGTGTGCAGAGACCAATCAGAAAGCTTGATTACACTAACACACAACAAAAGGCTGTAACAATGCAAAGGCAAAATTATACTTAAGCAAATGTACCTGGTTCAAATCCTGGCACTGTCCCGCACTATTGTGGCAGAGATGCTTATTCTGGGTGCTATTCTCTTCATCTATAAAACATTCATGATGTCTTTAAAGGCAAGGACTTTAAGGCAAGTTCTCTGCATCTAGGATGCAGAACCCCCACCCCCATGATCACTATTAGAGGAACCATGAAAAGAAGTTGGCAACAGTGAAGCATAAGAACTTAAGTAGTAAGAGTAGGCAGGAACCAAGGAATAAAGAGCAATTTCCAGGGTCATGACATCTTGGAGATGAATAGGGGTGCCATTCTAGTCTTAGCTCCCAAGCTGAGACAGAGGTAGAGAGGGGTAGTGGATTAAAGAAGTTAGTCTTTCTTTTCTATTCCATTCCATCTCAGAGGCTGCTGTGGCTCAGTTTCTAGCTGACCCCACCTGTCCACAGAAAGGCAAATACTTTATCAGAGTCATCCAGTGTAAGGGAACTGTGATAGAACTGCTTACTGCAGGTGCTGATTCTCTCTCTCTCCCTTTCTCACAGAGACAGAGACAGAGACAGAGACAGAGACAGAGACAGAGACAGAGACAGAGACAGAGACAGAGACAGAGACAGAGACAGAGACAGAGACAGAGACAGAGACAGAGACAGAGACAGAGACAGAGACAGAGACAGAGACAGAGACAGAGACAGAGACAGAGAGAGATCTGTATGTTCTTGCCACAGGTAACTCATCAGCCTGAAAGCCTTTGCTACTGCATTCTTATAGTTAGGGCAGTTTTCTCTAAATGTAGCTCTGTCTGTATCTCTCTGTACACACACACACACACACACACACACACACACACACACACACACACACACACACACCTGTTCTTTGGCTGGTTCTGACTCTTTTTAGGTAAATTTTTAGGAAATGCCCTGGGCTGCTTTGGGCTGCCTGAAATGCTCTAGTCCAGGGAGAGGCAAAGGAGAAGTGCTAGCTCTGGCTTTCCTTCAGGCTCCTCCATTACATGAGGCAGAAAAAATAAAGTTAAACAAGAGTGAAAAAGGGCCAAAGAAAGGAGGCAGTGGTGTCCATACATGCAAGAAACTGCAGAAGAGTCACATTTTTGCGTTTGAAAGGATCACATTTGGGGGAAGTAGGAACCGGAGGTGTTGAAGATTAAGATTGTGGGAGACAAAACAATTGATTGGGCCTTTGAAATCTTGCCAAGAACCAAGAACCAGGACAAGTGACAGAGGGACTAGCCAGGTAGGACAATTAAAATGGAAATCTGGCTCCCTGCAGCATAGTGTGGAGCAGGGCTACAGAATCTGTTGCAGGGGGAGGTGGGGCCAAGTCTGGCACAGTCTGTGGGTTTGAAAGGAGCTGGGCGGGTTGGAGAATGCCAGTTAGCCTTTGTAGTTCTGAGCTCAGAGAGGGGGTGACAAGCACTGGGCCTCGGGTCACAAGACTGGCTTGGATGGCTTTTGGAGAAATTTCCTCTTAGCTCTTCAAATATATTTACCCCAAAGTTAGCCTCCAATCGCAGCTTCAGCCTTGAGTCCTGGGAGCATTGGCCAGCGAAGATTCAGATTTCGGCAGTGATACCTGTTGCCTGAAGGATGGGTCGACTTTCTTCCCAGTTCCCTAGAATCATTCACTGCATGGAATACAACATCTTAGCATATTTTTTAAACCCTTCCCACATACTTGCATCTCTCAGACCTCTAGGGTTGATCCCCAGGCTGATCTTTTTGAAAGAAAGTGTGGGGAACCTACTTGAAGATGTGGACTCCAGGGGTCTCTGTCTGCCCTGCCTCTGCCAGAAAACAGACTCAATGTGATGGACATTCACAGAGAAAGTAGTAAGTTTTCGTTTTTGCTGTTCTTGTTTATTTTTTTTCCAAGCTTGGTTGATCTCCAGGATCAGGGTCCCCAAAGAAGCATGCAGGACTCTCTCTCTGTCTCTCTCTATCATCTCTATCTCTCTCCCTCCCCCTTTCCCTCTCCTCCCCTCCTCCTCCCCCTTCTTCTTTTTCCTTCTCAATAAAAATAAATAGTACCCTTCTCATCCTAGGAATGATTTATAAAAGCAATAAACTGCTTCTTCCTCACTGTTCCAATCTTGGGCTAAAGATATCCGAGGTTGGTCTATATGTGCCTATCCTCAACACAGAAATATTTTAAAAAACATTTGCACCAGCATACAAGATGTATACAGAAATTCTTCTTCACAATAAATACTATATAACTGATGTCATTATACTAAGTTTATCCCAGAACTTGCACAGATGTCTTCCTTGAGGGATTTCTGGATGTATTTGTGCTCCCTCAAAGGAGGACTGATAGGGAGAGTTTAGAAGGAGGGTGTGGTCCAGCTGATTCAATTCCCCTTAGACTCCTTGCCCCTCCCTCTTCCCACCTCTCAGCCCAGCTCCTCAGACCTAACCTGAGTCAACCAACAGTTCAGTACTGTCAACCTCACCTTTGCAACCGGGTTAGACTGTCAGGCAGTTGCCCACTTCCCATGATCACAATTATTGTTTCTGTGGTCTCAGCATTACCATCAGACCAAGGCATAGGCTGAACAATAGCATCTACTCCCTCAGCTTCTCTCAGCCAGGGATAATGTAGCCAAAGTACCCATAACAATACTAACACTGTAGTTAGGAGCCCTCTAGTTCATCTCACCTTCTGAGAGTCTGACAGACGTTAACTAATTAATCTTCTCTACACTCTGGACATTAGAGGGACATATTCTGAACTATGATGGAAGACATGTATGTATATGCTGAGGACAGTAAAACCGTTACTTATCTGTCATGGTTCACTTGATAGAGTAACTGGTATTTTTAAAACACCCATCATAGATACAATAATTAGAGATATGCTTTTGTTAACAAAGCCACTACCCACTTCTAGCGTACCCTTGGGTACTAAATAATTACCCACTTTGTGTGGTTATCTAGCTCACTAATTACCCACAGAAATTGGGGTCAGGTGTTAACTGCTTCAAATAAGTATCCTCCAAAGACCTCACTGAGTTGTATGGAGAAAATGATGTGTTCCTTAGCCTAACTTTCATAAGTCACAGATTTGTGTATCTTTGTAAGCAGAGTGAGCACAGACAAGTATGAATTAGCTTAGTGTGTGGAAGTCATGCTAAACTGCTATCACAAATCAGAGGGGTTAGGAGAATGAAATTCTCCATCTCTCTTTCCTTTCCAGTTGGATACAGTGGCCTGTTCCTTCATATATACAAGTACACCAAGACGATCAAGGACTCTCCTCAGTGATGGTTCATCTTGGTCTAACAGGGAGGCACCCAATGAGTCAAAGATTTTTGACAGCTACACCCTTTTTGATTATTTTAGCCTCTCTCTCTCTCTCTTTCTCATCACACACTCTATTAGCCAAATCTGAAAAAGATTCTGACCCAGTCACCAACTCCTGGCACATGCCTTCCTCCTTCCCAGTCATGACAATAAGGAAAAAATGTGCTAAAGATAACTCCAACATTCTGTTACTTCTCTTCTGCCTGCTTGTCCTCCTCCTCCCCCTTTCTCTTCCTTTTCCTTCTCTCCTCCTTTCCCTGCCTCCCCTTCTCCTCTCCCCCTTCTTCTGCTTCATCTCATATGTGCTTTTCCTCTCCTCCTTCTCCTTCCTTTGGCATCCAGCCGTGCTTGAAGTCTCACCATCAGAGACAAAGCACAATGAATGTCTGTGATGAGCACAAAGAAACTACCTTTTAAAACACCCACTTGCAGGGAACCTGCGTCCTTGGCTGTCTTCCCCTCCTTTCCTGCTATTTGCAGAACCCCGTATTCTATTTTAACACAGCCCTGTCTGTTGTCTCTAGGATTCTAGCCTCATTGGGAAAATTGGGTTAAGATAGCAATATACCCACTGTGTTTATAGCTAGGTAGAGACCCTAATTTTGGGGGTGGTGCCCTCTTTGAGAGGACACTGTATAGAAAGCAAGTATTTAAAATGGGTGACAACAGAAACACTGCACACTGCTCCCTTCATCTTTCGGAGATGCCTTTTTTTCCTGGTGCTTCTCCCTCCTTCCCTATCTCTCTTTCTTTCTTTTTTTTTTTTGCCATCTGAAGTATTGCTTATCATTATGGAAGAACATTAGGCTGATCAATAAAGTATGCATGTATCTGATGGGCATGGGAGGCTACAAACGCTTCAGGAATCAGGAGAATGCCTGCAGTGGAAGCCAAGGGTTAGTCTGAGCTGAGGAGACTGATAGAGTGGCTTTCCAAATCCCAGGAACCTAAGTGGCAAATTGGTGCATGCTGCAACCGGAGGCAACCAGCAAAACCCAGTCATTGAAAGGCATGAGGTTAGTATTGTGATCATTATGTGCCTGAAGAGTCTCTATGTATCTTAAATATAGACTTGAGTTGTTGCTCTTTTATGCTTTCACACAACAATTTCAAAGAAATGTTTTGGGCATTGTTGACCATCTGTCCATTTAAAAAAAATAAAGGGGGAAAAATTTCACAAGGAGCCTCACCTGCGTTCATTCACGAATGTGTGTGGATGCCAGACAATTGGCCAAATAACCACATTGCGCCCGAGGTTTCACTTCTTCACAATCTCCACCTGGATTCCCCCGTCCCCCCCCCCCCCACGCACACTTAAGAAAATGAGCTACCTGAACTGTAGGTCTAGCAAAAGAATACATGCATGCATATGTGCACACACACATGTTTGAATCTGTAGAGTACAACGTCTAGTTTCCCCAACCTGATGGTGTATTTTTGATCTCATTAGTAGTCAGGGAGCTATCTCCCTGCATCCGGTGTTGCTAGTCCGGGAGGAGACACGCTACAACACAGAGAGAGCAAGCGCGAGAGAATATTAGAAGAGGCTTGTCTTCAAGATATGGAAGGAAGTGAGAGATGACAGTGCTGCAAGCTTTGTATGCAGGAGCCTGGCAGGGCGGGGGAGAGGCAAGGGAAGCCAAGTGGGTTCTCAGAAAAGGGGGGAAGCCATCAAAGAGCTAAAGGTGATTAGAGGAGGATATCGATTCCTTACTCTGCCAGAGGTTTAAGCAGGCATGTGAGGAATCTGCCTGCACCACGGTTGGCAGAGAGAGACCCATTGCCTCCTGTAACCAGACACTGGGGCTTTCCAGGAGCCCAGGGAGAAAGCCGAGAAGAAAGGGGGCAGTGTGGTCTAGGAAAATTCAACTTGTCGCTGATTTGTGCCTGATGCTTGCTGTCCGTCAGCAGCCTCCCTTACATGCTTTTTTCCTTTCTCTCCTTTTTTTCTCCCCTTGCCTTCTTCTTCAGTGAAGCCTAGGGGAGCCAGTAAAGATTAAATGTGCTTTCTCAAAGGCAGCCACTTCATGCTGCTATGTCGAAAGGGCTATTATTATTAATAAAATGAGAGAGAGAGAGAGAGAGAGAGAGAGAGAGAGAGAGAGAGAGAGACTAGGTATGATGATGACGGACTGGCTCTTTGGAGAGGAAAAGGGAAAGGCGAAAAAAGGAGAGGCAGACGGAGAGCTGAACGGTGGACTGTACATGAGCAGAACCTACAGAGGTGAGAAAAAAAAGTTGTGTGTGGGTGTTCTAAACAGACCCTGTGCTGGGGGAAAGAGACAGGGTTTAGAGGGCTGGCTGGCATGATTCTAGTTCTTCTGGCGGGGAGGAGGCAAGCCTGGAGCTCTTCACTGTTCCTAGTTGTATATGAAAGTATATTAAAAATAGTTGGCTTTTTTCTTTTCCTTTTTTTTTAAACTCGGATAGAAGGGCCCCCTCCAGTGTCTTCCTTAGGGCCGGTGCTTTGTTACTCTGTGTGCCCAGCCAGCCATCTACTTTGCTCAGGCCTGGGATAAAAGAAAGAAAGGAGGGGTGAGGGGAAAGAAATTTTTTTTAAAGAAGCATCTTCCCGGTCGGCTTCCCCTCCCTTTCGGTTCTTTTTTTTTTTTTTTTTTTTTTTTTTTTTTTTTTTTTTTTTTGAGTCTGCACAGGAAAGCTCAGCTTCTAAGCAGAGGAGGTTGGGGAAAGCGACTCTATCAGGTACAGCACTAGTGGCTGTCTGCGAAGATGGAGGGGGATTATGCCTCGGATTCCTCTGAAATATTGGCCAAAGGCTTCAAAGGATCCGCAGCGGGAGGCGAGGTGGGGGAGCATCTCCCCAGCTTGCACCCACCCCTTCCCACTTTGCGTCTACCAAATGACAGGCTGGTGCTCGCTCTGGGTGATTTTGGCCTTGGCCTCAGCCAAGCAGCTGATGGAGAGGAGGGCCGGGTTTGCAAGACTGACAGAACTCTGCATGCTAGAGAAAGAAGGAAAAAAAAATTTTTTTTTTACAAGCAATCCTTGGGAAATTTTCTCTTTCTCTCTCGATTTATTCAATTTTAATTTTTAACCGACTGTTTTCCAAATTTGATCAGCCCCAGCCCCTCCCTCTACTCCCACCCAACTGCCTCTCCCCCCACCCCCACTCTCGGTCAAAGCATAAACCACAGAGTTACGGTCTTCTCTCGATTTTGGAGTATCGCTTCCTGCCCCCGCCTTCCCTCCCCGCCCCATTCTCTGTCCTATTGAACACCTCGCCCAGCCTAGCGCATTGCGAGCTCACATTCTCCCCCCGGGTCCGGATGGCGCTCCTGGAAGCTCTGCAGCCGGGCTCCACTTCAAATGGGTGAGTTCAAAAACCTTTCTAACCTCCGAATCCTGCTTCCCCCAAACCCTCTTAGGATTGTTGCATGTGGCACGCTTGCCCTGGGGGAAGGCAGAGGGTTATTTTCTTCTCCTTAGTCATTCGAGCAAGTTACAAATGAAAGCCTTGAAAAGATGCTTAATCCCGATCGTAGATTACGGTTTTTTTTTTGTTTTATTAACCAAATAGAAATAGACATTTCTGAGTCTATTCATATTATTTCCCAATTTAGTAAACAATTTGTCCAAAGCTTTAAAGTTTTCTTTGATATAACTGGCATTTGCATGTTCAGGTCTATGTATTGCGTATGCAGGGCTGTATGGAGTCAGAAATGATCTAAATTTTGTGAAGGGACGAGGGTTAGAAAGCCAGGATATCGCCACACTGGACCACCTGTTTGCTGCATTTTAGTCCGGAGTCTGCAACCAAAATTGACTGTCATTCTTGTTTTGCTTTGTTTTCTCTCAAGAAAGGGGAAAAAAAAATGCTGCGCTCCCCTCAGTCCCTGAGACCCTAACTTGTGATGTTTACCGTTTAAATCCACGGGTTAGGCTCTTGGGAGCTGCGAGTGGTGCCTTTGCGTCGCCCGAAGGAACTTTTTGTCTTTTAAAGGGGAAAAAAAAAGGAAAGAAAGAAAGAAAAGAAAAGAAAGTTTGTCAGAAGTGATGAGAGTACACCTCTGAGGCTTCCATTGTTAGATGGGATCAGGTGACCAGAGTGTGGCAGCTCCTGGCTTCTGTTGAAGTAGGCATAGACTGTTAGCATCCTGTGTTGGCTGCTATGGACGCCTGTGTACATGGCTGACACGGAGGCTGGTGGAAACTCATCGGCAGGGTCTATTCCTTGAGAGCAACACGCAGTACTACCAGAGCGTAACACCAACAGCTCAGTACCTGGTGGTTGACCTCAGAACATCTCAGCTGAAGTCCCAGCATGCCCCATGCCTCCAACTTTTAAACTCAACAGTTAATTTCAAAATTCTGCTCAATTAAAATGGTATGAGAATATATTATATCTGCATTGTCTGCACAAGTATCGTATGTGGCTAGAGAGTGGTTTCTCTGACATAAGTATGCTAGAATCACTGGTTTGGAATAAATTAATAGGTTAAATATTCAACTCTTGTATTTAATACAAAGAAAGGAAATTAAGGGACTAAGAAAGATAACATATGTTTCTTTGCGAGATTTCTCTAAAAAAAAATTGTAGGAGGAATCCAACCTCCTTGGTTTGATACTTCTTTAAAAATATTATGCTTGATGAATTTAAAGGTGATAAGGATAGAAATGGATTTTCTAAATATTGTGGAATGAAAGAAATAACTGGATCCATTGATATTTGCATTTCTTGGGGGAAAATAAATGCCTAGATTCTCCTTTATAAACTGGAAAGATTTTTTAATCAGGATTCTAATTCAACTCGACAAAGTTATTGGTAATTCCAAACCACATTTTAAAATAATCTTCTCTTGAGGAAATTGTTAGCATTTTCTAGTTTTCAGTTTTCTGGGATTATAACTTTTCATGGAAGGGTAATTTCAGTGGTTCAGGTCTGCTTCATATTGGGAAGAAGGACGAGGCTTACCTTCCCTTTGTTGCAGAAAATTCGGGCGTACTGTTTCCTTGAAACAGTTTTTTGCTCTTCTCAGCCCAATATTTCTCTCCACTTTTGGAAAATACCTAAATCAACCCAGACTCCAAATGCTTTCACCTTTGAAAGATTTTGTAATGGTTGAAGCCTCATTGTACATACGGAGTGGAAGCTGAAGGAAACTGCTCTTGTCCTATTTTTAAGTGCTGATCTCAATTTTACCCATTTACTCCAAATTGCAGTCAAGAAAGCATTTTGCATTAAAACACTGAATTGAGAAGCGTGCAACAATTGTGCTACGTCTTTTGTTGGAACCTCTTGTACAGCTGTAATTTTACTATTACTTGGCAGCCTTTGGTAGAATGTGCTTCGAAACTTACACTTATTTAAGAGATTTTCCATTCTTGTACATATAAAATGATTAATGATTCCCCATCCCATTTCAGCTAATGTGCATGCATAGCTATGTGGAAATTATGGTGGTGCATCAGTTTAACTTATGGGTAATATATTATTACATCATACATATGAAAGACTGGCAAACATTTGGTGCTTTTTGAAGGCAAGATATGAATGCAGCTGATGTGACAGGAATGTAAGCATGGATCAATAAAGATATGATAGACGTCTTTTCTCTGATTTCAAATGATAGAGGGACACGATTCAATACAAATGTTTCAGTTTGTGCTAGGAGGCACTACTGCTTTTTCCATGTTTTCAAGTGGATTGCTCCTGCTCTCGGGCTGCTACTGTAAAGCTAGTTGCCCAGGCATTCAGTAGTGCGTGTGACACACAGATTTTTGTATTTCAGCAGGCAACTGCTTCAGTGCAAGGGCAGGTTTCTCAACAGCCCCTCTTCCTCATGGAGCCCATCAGTGCAGTTCAGTGAAATGAATAACATAATTGGTGGTTGGTTCAATCACTACCAGTCTAGACTAGCCCAGACGCATCAATTAGAGGGGACTGTCTTTTAAAGGGAGAGTGTAACCGAAACAAGCAGGCTATTATTGATACTGATCTTTAAAAGCACAAATCCAGCCTGGCAGATAAAAAAAAATAAGGCGGAGAGCTGCAGTGGGGGTGCACTAGGGGAAGAAAAGAGAGGAGGGAACTGGAGCTCTGGCCCAGAAGGACAGGAAGCTGGAGAGAAAGGGGGGGATAATGAGTGGAATGCAGTCCTGTACCTCCTTGGAGCACAGTTACAATTGGGTTCACAGGGCGCAGTGGCTCACCGTATTTTCAACTAGCTTACACACACAAACACACACACACACACACTCCTTCACTAACATATCCACCTTCTTTTCCTTCTTTTAAAAGGTTCTTCTTTTTGGCTGGCTCAAAACCATTGCAGCTGAAATCCAACAGCCTTTAAAAGCCTCACTGATAACAGGAGGAACCAGCTGAAACTCCTTTTGCAATATTTACCCCAGAGAAAAATATAGAAAATGCTTAATTTTCAAATCTCTAATTATTTTTGCTTTGTTTTAAGGAAACATGCTAGAGAGGAGTACTCATTTTAAAATCTGGCACCTGGAACCAATTTTATGGGCAAAACACCATTTTAGAAAAAGTTTACAGTTTTCCATTGAATACAGTAAAGTAAGAAGAATGTAACAGAAGGCTTTAGTGATTTGGTAGTTTTTTTTTTCTCTCTCTCTCTTCTTTTATGGGGGAGAAAAACAGATGATTTAGAAAGTGTTAGGAACATATCAAGCCCCAGGGAAAGAAAACGTTTGATTGGTATTAATTAAAACACTGCTAATATATTCTAATAAAATCAGATTTAACATTCTAAACTAATCCGCCTAGCATGTCAAAGGCAAAGAAAAGTATTATCTGTCTTATTTGCATCTGGGCAACTTGAATGCTTTTGCTCATTCGGCAGAATTAATTTCTTCCACCATTCTATTAAATCTCCTCACAGATTTAGTCAAACTTATTCTTTCAAACTAGAAGGGAGCAGGGTGGTTAAACCTCGGAAGGTATTTGGAAGACTAGTGACTGTATTTTGGGCCCGTTTTCTGGCTGCACATAGTATTTTCTCCTTACTCGATATAATGGGGTGTGGAGAACAGCGGGGATTGCAGAATGATAAATGGCTCAGGGAATTTTTTCCCCTTTTTCTTCTACCTGCTGCCTTATTTAAAAAATTAAGTTGCCAAATTATATGAACAGCATTGATTCTGTGCTGTCAGCCTGACCATCAACATCTAATTTTTGTTTTCTAATTCAGAACCCATGTTATCACAGATTCCTAATGGAAAAACAAATAAATAAATAAATAAACAAATAAATAAATAAATAAATAAATGGTCCTTAGACCAGAAACCCATCATCTTTTCTCAGCTGTTTTTTTTAACCTTTAGTCCTAAGGGCAAGTGAGAAAAGGAATGTAAAATTGTATTCGCCAAGAGCTGAGTTCTTTGTTCTATTTTTAAGTCAAATATTTCTCTGGAAGAATTCCATATTTTTATGGAGCATGGCGTTTCAGCTCTTTATTGCTAAGCTCTCCCAACTGATAATATTGTCCTCAGATGGTATTATAGCCAAAATGTTTCGCCTGTCATCAGTCTCCTGAAACTATGATAGCCCATGCAAATATGAGCCTAACACAAAAAGATGAATGGGCCGGAAGTGCTGAGAACCATATGGGTGTGTTTCCACAAGGAGGGAGTCTCCAGGCTGAGGAGAGGTGGACTGACTACAGTCTGCACCAGGGAGGTGGCTGCCCACTTCTTCCTCCATTGCCTTTTCAAGTCTTCAAGGTAAAAGAGCAATCGCAGTTTGGTTTCACTTGTATTGTTCTATAATCCAGGCAATAAATGCTAATTAGTAATGCTCAAGGATCCGACCATTCAGAGTAATTATCATAATTTACTTCTTCCTCGTTAAAGACATTCCTTGCTGATTTAAAAAAAAAAAAAAAAAAAAAAGTCGTCCCTTCCCCATGGTGTTACAGTGAGTATTCACTGGAAAGATGTTCAAGGTGCACTCACAGCTTCGTGGCTGCATTTGAGGTCACCAACATGTGCCCTGGCTTATTCGGAATGGAACTTCCACTTTGATTTCTAAGATGGAATTCATATAAATGCATCAATGTCTGCACATCACCGGGAATGTATGATTTTATTTTGCAAACCCCGAGGCTCCTCCTTCAGAGCCCACCCCTTTTTCTAAAACCACTTATGAGCAGAACAAAGGAAAGTACTAACTATAGAGGCATCATTAGATGTGAACAGTCACTGCACAGTAAAGTGTGTGCTATGACAACATATTTCATTGCACAAAAGTGCAGATAATTAAATAATTCAACAGCAAACCCGACTAATTAGCAGAAAGATCTTTAAAGGGGAATCAAGAAAATGGATCCAATCAACTCGAAGAATATGTTTTATTCTCCGAGACCGAAAATATATTTTAGTTGTTTGGGGATTGATTCATGTAGGGTGTGAGGACAAAAGCCAATTCCTCAACGCAAAGCTTGGATCTTCTTTAGACACACAAACTGAACGTCTGTCTTAAATGATCTGAATTTAATGTAAGAGTTTCCCTTTGCAGTCAAAGGCATAACATGCCACTCAGATGTATGTCTCTTTTATCTATAGATCTAATAGATGGCCAACCCTTAGCTGTTCAGTTGGCTTCCTCAGTGTGTATGTAGCCTCTCCCACATTTCCTAATGATTCATGTTGAAGTTCCTTATTGCTTGAAGCAAGTATCATGTTCACAGTACAGAAAGAATAAGTAACTGTACTCAGTGTTATCCAGGGTAACACCCCTCCCCATTTCCTTTGTCAAGGTGTTATTCTCAGTGTTCATTGTTCATTGGTCCTTTAAGCAGGAGATCTAGTTTTAACTTGAGGGCTATAAGCACATTAGAAGACTAATTCCCCTTGGATACTGTACAGAAGGAGCCACCTGCAAAATGTTGATGCTGTTATTGAAGTCTCAAGTGGAATCAGCTTTCAAAAAATTAGATATTAGATACATCCGATATAATTTGCAATCTGTAATTATCCTAATGTGCATATAGCTGGGCGTTGCTTTACATGTAGCCTACTTGAGTTTGTCGACCACCCCCACCCTTGGGCATGTTTCATCACTTGAAATTGCCCCTGAGTAGAATGCTTTTTAAGCCAGCTTATTTTTTTAATTCCTTGTTAATTAATATAAGAATAAAAGGACTTTGCAGCCTGTGTGCTTGTGTGAGAATGAAAGTATAAAACCTAGATATTGAAAACTAATGATCTCTCGAAGGACTGTCACTGGAGACACTTGAATTCTTTGCAAAATATTTGCAATTCTTTGTGGATTTGTTCTTTATCCTGACTTTGGATAACTTGGAAGCATGGAGAACATCAGAGTAGTAAATATTACTCATAAGAAATATATTTCCTTTGTTGGAATTAGAAAAATGACATTAGGCAAAGATAATAGTTTTTAACTTAATCAAAATAATCAAGCCATTAACAATAATAAACAATTCCTTTTCTCTTTTCCCTTCCATTTTGCATGTCACATGATGAGTAAATGAAACTCTTATGCATTAACTTCAGTTCCCTTTTGGGGCCTCATTGTGATTCCAGAGACCTACTGATGGCTCCACTGGGGAGCCCCTTCCAGCAAGCTGCCCTCTGAAGATCTACCTATCAAGAAAAAAAAAAAAAAGCCAGGCAGAAGCACAGTGAGTTGGCTGGCCAGCCTGGTACTTGGCTATGTGCAGTAGGTGATGAGATTGTCAAGACAAACTTGGAGAATGATTATTACTGGGCAAGGCAATCTGAGGGTCTCACTTTTTCCTTCTGCATTCAAATTACAAAAAGGATCCCAAGAGAACCTTGTGTTGAGTAAAAGACCCTACTCTACTACTCAATGCAAGTTGGTAGGTATAAAACCAAAAAGTAAAACTGGTCCATAAAATCTTAACATGTGACAAACATTCGAAATCTGCCCATTCTCCTACTGTCTGCTGCATATTCAATCCTCAAAATTCCTTTTAATAGTGTTTATACTATATAAAAGCCATTTTTGCATGGGGTAGATGTATGTAACTCCAAAGCAATGTATAGCTTAGTTTTTATCTTCTTATATATTCTTGGACTTTCCATTATTTACTACCTATATGAATCATAAAAGTATTATATACAATGCCTTTCCTTATTACAATATCATGCTAATTTATTCACAAATGATTATTGCATGGATTCAAAAAGCTTAGTGCCCTATTCTCGATATCATTGTTTATAAAATGCAGTGCGCATTCACAATATTTAAAACTAAGTCATTCTACTAGTTAGATCTGGCCTCTGGAGAACCAGCATCCTCAGTGTACTCAGTATTTAGTTCACTGATGTGTCCTGGTATATCCCATTCAGTGTGCCTAGCTCATTGATGCATTTTCATTGTATGAGTATAATGGAAAAGCTGATGTCAAAGGCTTTAGTTAAATTAAAACCACCTGCAAAGTACATCTCATTCACAACAACTCCTTCAGAGTAAGAGAGTAACATTAATGCACCTCTTCTCAAATATCCTTATCTGTGAAGTGAGTGTGTCAGACTAGGTAGGTTCCTAGTTCTTTTACAGCTCTCATAATTGTTGAAGCCATTTTACAGTATAGGGGTAATAGGAAGCCAGAACCCATGAACCCAGAGTCTGTTGGAATCATCAGTTGTCCTTCAAAGTTACACCTCTGGGTTCAGTATTTATATGAACCCAGAGTCTGTTGGAATCATCAGTTGTCCTTCAAAGTTACACCTGATTCTACCTCTGGGTTCAGTATTTACTAATCCGTTTTGCCCTGTTGAGAAAGCACTGAAGATTGGAGTTCATTTTCAGGAAGGGATGTGACTGAAAAAGCAACAGCCTAGGGGCAAAATAAAAGAATATGAAAATAAAAATAAAGCTACCCAGTGGGAGAAGTAAATTCTTGATCCCAGTTATAAACCCACATCATTCAATATTGACTTGGAAAGTACCCAAACAGACACCTGCTTTTCTGTTTTAGGCCACACCCTATCCACCAGCCCTTCTGTTCTCCTGTCATTGCTTGTAGCGTGGTTTGTTTTCTCCATTGGATTGATGCCTTTAAGTTTTGTGTTTCTTGTTCTTCTTGGTTCATTTGAATTGTGGTAATGTTTCTTTCAGGGGCCTACAATGGTCAGTTGACCACAACACACTTCCCAAATGAAACACTGACATGTTCAGAGCCTCCTGAAAATGGCCCCACCTCATTTTTCTCAAACCACCTGGAATGTAGAACCCCTTCTTTTATTAAGCCAGACTTCATTCCTCAGTCTTGACACCTTTAATATGCTTACATCTGACAAATTTTCTTCCCGTGTGCCTCAGTATTCCAGTAACTCATACACTCTTTCATTACATTTGCCCTCTTTTCCTTTCTCCTACTTTCTCTCGTCTTCCCTCCCTTTCCCCTCCCTCCTTCCATTCATGCACCTTTCTTTCTTCTTCTTTCCCCTTCCTTTCTCTTTCTTACTACTCTGCCACCTCCCCCTTCTCTCCCTCCTTCCCTTTCTCCCACTCTCTTTTTCTTTAAGTATCATTGCCAAGTTCAAGTTAAGTATCAATGCCAGGCACTGGAAATACCAAGATAATTAATGCTCGATCATTCCACTGCCTTCATTCACTTCTGAATTGCTAAACAGTTAAGCACCTACAGCCAACTTAGTTTATCATCATTCCTAGGACTTACTTGAATATGTCCTGTTGTCTTTTGCTATCTGCCTGTGTGTCCTGTTTCAGTGAGGGTAGATTTGAAGCATTCTTCTTGGTAGAGCTCTCTCATCCACACTGGGACAAGACCACTGCTTGACTGATCCTTGATCAAGGGGAACAATGAAAGAAAGCTACTTTTTTGTTGTTCAAGTGATGTAACATTTCTGATGTAGTTAGAAATAGCATTGTCCCTAAGGTGTCACAAATTCATCTCCATTAAACAATGTGATAACTGTCTGTGACATGTTCTATTATCTTTGTAGTTGTACTGATGTTCCTTTCAGCTGGTCCTATAGTCCCCTTCCTCAGGAATATCTCCCCAGTGAAAGAACAAAGACTACAGAGACTGCTAGACTGATGGACATTCATACCAACTGTGAAGTTGAAACAAAGCAAGTGACCACCTGAAGATACCCCAGCAGCCACCCATGTGGTGCAGTTGCAGCCAATACTAATCTTTGCAAGAAACAGGAAGACCCAGATGATTAATGAGTCAAAAACTTGCTTTCTTGTGTGTATTTGTCTGTCTGTGTTCAGATTCACTTGCCTTCTATTTTTTATACTAGTATGGATATGCTTGTTAGTGTGCTTGTGTAAAGGCAACTTTGCACATGTGTGTTCATGCACGAAAAGACTGAATTTTCTGTGGAGACTAATTTTTATCAACACATAGTATTTGTTCTTGAGAAAGATCTAGAAAATGAAAAACAGTGTTGTCACAGGTGACCCACAGAGATGCTCATGCCATCATGCAGAAACACCACATCATGCCCCCAGACTCTGAGCAGCAAGCTTGCCTCTGTGACATATGGCAGCTGCTTCCGAGGGTGAAAATCAAACTGGACAAGGGTATATAAGCTACCTAAAATGTAGTGATAAACTGAGTCAGTAGACAATAGAGTAGAAATAAAATGAAAGACAATGGCTTGCCTAAGGGAGAATGTTGCCCTAAAGAGAAATATGAAATGACTCATAAAGGATGTAAAAAAAATAGATAAATGGGAAGGTAGAAGAAAATAGAGTCTTTAAGGTGAGCATAATAGTACGCCAGGACATGGCAGAGGAAATCCACTGGGTGAGTTTTGGAGGTTGCAAATACTCAGGTCAACTTGATTCCACCCAATACTCAGCACCCCAGAAGTCACCTAAACCAAACTACAACTAAAGTTCCAGTTCTCTGTCACTGGAAAGATGAAGGTGATTGGTAGCACCTGTGCAGAACTCATGATTCTTCTGTTCATAATTGCTAGCTACCAAGTTTATTCCATGTAGAATGTATTTTGCCTAATAAATCTCATGACAACCATGAAAATTACACATTATCCATACTTCCCAGGTGATGAAACTGATTTTGATGAGGTCAAGTGCCTGGGCAAGGTGCTTTGTGCAGCTGTGAACATTCAAGATTGTGGTCACAAAGTTCATGAGCTGAAGCCTAAAGTCAGAATTTTGTGATCAGTACCAACACTTTTGTCACTTTCCCTACAGACCTTAAAGTCTTTCTTTGGAAACAAATAGCTCTTCTGCTTACTTATGGCCTCAATGGTCTACTCAAATACTTTTGTATTTTAACTACATCAGAATGATAAAATGTATTTTATGACAGCAAATTGAAAAGTTAATGGTGGCAAGCCAGCCAGTATTTTAGACATTTCCTTTTCATTTTGGTTAGACATCATGAGATTTTTTTTTACTTAGTTCTGTAAGAAAACTCAAAGTTTTAAGAGCAGTGGGCCTTACGTTACCTTTTACAATATCTTTTTGATGGAAAACATAAATCTATAGTCTGAAAGCAGAGTTACTTAGAAAAATAACCAACCCAAACAAACAAAATAAAACAAACCACATATTTGGAAATATCCCAGCAAGGACTAGAAACTAGGCCCTCAGTTATCTTTCAGTAGTTTTTAAACTACTCCACCCTACCTGTGCCCTAAAGAAACATGAACTTTTATTTGATTAAAAGAGGTATTCTGTCTATGTGATTAAAGAATGCTTCACAGATTGGATCTAGTAGATCTCACCATTTCCTTCCCCTCTCTGGCACTTCATGTCAATATGAAATACAGCTATGGATTAGTGTATTTGGGTCAAGAAGTTGTCAATGATCTGTCCCCAAAGAATATAGAATAGCCACAGTTGTATGTATATTATATCTTTAATGATATCCCCAATCATGAAGTCATTGCTTCACTTGTACTGATCCAATCTCCCATTGTACATCTTATCAATGCCTTTGGGCAATGACCAACTTTTGTGAATGCTGAGAATGCTTATCCATGACTTTTTCAGTAATGCAATTCAGTATTAAGAATTACCACTAGTCATTTTGTGTTGTAATCCTTGTTTATTCACTTCCAGTCACTCTGTACTTGATTGGCATTTAACAGTGTTTAATAAAATGGCCATCTAGATAACATAGATATCCAAATTGTGATTTTTGTCTTAAAGGAGACAGTTAAGCTAGGTCTGCTAAGGGACAGACATGTAACTTTTTGAGAGATCTGGATATTTAACTTTTGTAACTTTCTACTTAGCTGTTTGACATCATATGTAGCCCCCATCATGGCACTAGCTGTCTTGTTTTTTCAAAGTGCTTGTTGGTTCTGTCTTACTCTGTTCTCACTGAGTTCATAAACAAACAGGTTTGTTGTTAACAAGTAGCCCAAGGACAGAGTGTGACTGTGTTGACATTTTATGAGACTTTCTTTTCCCTGACTCACAATAAAAGAAATGTTGCATTAACTGTGAACTTGTGTTGATTTATTGGAAAAGACAGCTATCATAGCTTGATTTCACTTGTATATGTATAAATAAAAACTAGTGTGTGGTTCATACTGACCAAATATCTAATGGGATAAAAAAATTGTTAAGTTAGAGACAATTTCCAAATGATCCCCTATCACCTTTAAATGCTATGGTTATCTACCCAAGTCAGAAGTCCAAGTTCAGTCTTTCCTTTCCACACACCACGACAGGGTGTTCAGTGTTCGCCTTTGGCTTTCCCCCTTTTCTTCTACTCAGATAAGGGAGCTTCTTCCCATTTCCTATGCTAATTTAGTAAGAAAATGTTGTCTTTCCCCACCTGGAGTACTGCCTCATCCTGCCAGGATTCCCTGCAGAGTGTCAAGTGGAATCCAGAGAATTGTTAAAATTACAAACATCATTCTACAGGGACTAAAACTCTTTATAATTACCATTGATCTTGAGATAGCATGGCACCAAGAGAACCGGATGTTCTGGCTTCTTCCTCCAGCAGAGCTTTCTAGACTCATGAAGTCACCATCTACCTTTTCCCTCCTGGGCACATGCCATTATCTCCATCTCCTCTTATTCCCTTCATCTCCTCAGTTTTTCACACATGTAACCTTTTGTCTATACCTCTCTACCATCTCTTGCAAATTCTATCATCTGTCCTTCAAGTCTTATCCCAGTAGCCATTTCCTCTCAGAAGACTCCATCCCAAACATCACCAATGGTATGCTGGCTTCCTCACCAAGGGGCTTTCATAGCATCTGGTTAGACACTCTACCGAGTATTATGATGGCTTCCATGCCAGACTCCTCTCTCTGTCAGAGATCTAAACCTGTATTGTCCAGCATGGTAGCCATTCAGCATAGGTAGTTATTTAACTTAGGTGAATTAATATTAAATGAATTTCAGTTCATCATCTGTATCGACTACAATAGAAGTAATGAATGGTGGCCACATGTTCCCAGTGCCCACCCCCCATCAGCAGCATGGCTACACACTTCTCATTGATATGGGCTTCCTGTCCAGCCCAGTTCTAGAAGATAAGCACTCTGATTTGTTGGTTGTTTCACTCTCTATCAGTGATGATTTCAAAACTAGGATTTTTCATTTGAACTGCGAGCACAAAAACATGACTTGTATGACTATACTCTGAATTACCCCATGATTGAAATATAGCAAAACAGGACTATATACAAAGGACATTAACTCACTATAGGTAAAGATATTCAGGGCACTAGCATAAAAGTATGGTTGAGAAAGTCCGCAACAGCCATTCACAGTGTGGTGTTAGTTCTCCCAGAATATCTGCTTAATCAGTGGCTCATCTGGCTCCGTAGCAAGATGTAGTGTGATTTCTTTTCACCTGAGCCATGGTGCTATGTAGGAGATGTGTCTTTGGACATGTACAGACTGCTTGTCTTGAGGATACGTAATCACAGATGATTCCCTTCCTTTCATCCCAAGGATAGCTGAGTGGTATTACCCAATAGGTTTACCAATGACTTTGTTTTTATGTATCCACAAGCAAACAAAAGAAGAAAATTGGACTCTTACTTAGTCAGTGAGGTCGAAATGAGAATGACTCAAGTAGACAATAAATTTGATCAGTCCCAGTTTAGTGAAAGATTAGCTAGATTTTATTAAAATATTGATTATTTATAGGAAACATGCTTATCGTATGTATGGCATATACTGGCCAGGTACTTATTGGGTCTTAGGGATGCAGCAGGAAATAGGACAAATGTGGTCCTTACAACTGCAGTGAATAATATGAATGTAACTATTTTAGTTTCTTGGCAGCACCCGATACGTAAGTTCTCACTTCAGTTGTCCTTGGTAACTACTTAGGCTGTTAAAATACTGATACCCAGGTCTCTTGAAAAAATAATCTGGGAATTGAGATTTTTATTTTCCAAAGCCTGTATAAAGCTTTGAATACGCAGATAATGCTGAAAACTCTTGACCTATGGGAATATAATATTAAAATGAGCTCTGATGTCAGGCCTAGGGGGCTTAGGTGGGAGAATTACAAATGCAAGTGCTACCTGGAGTACAGTGAGTTCAGGCTCAGCTTATGAAACTAAGTGAGCCCTCACCTCAAAATAAAACATTAAGAAAGGCAAGGTATGGATGAAGCCCAATGGTAAAGTACTTGTCTAGCATGTGGTAGGCCCTAGATTCACTCTTCTGTACAATGAGTAAATAAATAAAAATTACAAAGAAAACTAAGAATCTGGTATTGGCAGTTGCTATCAAGTTAGAGCCAAAAGGAGAACATTAAAAATCATTTATTTAACATATCTTTCATTTCATTTTTATTTGTCAAATTACCTAAGAAGACAAATCAATACTTAATCACTGAGTTGACCAGATCAGCAAAATAATGACTCAGATAAGAGCCAAACTTAGTTTCTAATTTTAACAAATTATCTTTTTGCTTTAGTAAACTGCCCCAGGAAATAAAATTATCTTCAAACCAGGAAAGAACCAGTATCCACTGCCATCATAGTTTTTAAAAGCTAATCATCAAATGTGAGCATTGTAAATTCTCTTTGTTAAAACATAACCCACACATGTACATATGTGTAACACCCCCCCACACACACACCCTCCTTCTCCCCCTCCTCTCCAGGAAGAGGAAGATTAGGAGTTCTAACAACATTCTTATAAAGATAATTGTGCCTATGTTTAACTCCACTCTGGACTAGGAAGGACATTCTGCCTTGGAATAGCAGAAATCACAGTGGGAAGAGAAAATGAAAAAGTGCATTGTGCTCTAGTGTACTTGGTTCTCACCTACCTTATTTCATGACATTCTGTTCAGTTTAACTTTTCACAGTACAGGTGAAATTTGTCAGTCTGTCTCCAAGAGAAAAGTTGGCATTAACAAATAACTACTATTTTAAAAATAGCTTCTGTGACCTGCCCACCATGCCCAACTTTCAGATTCCTCTTAGAGATGAAGAGAATCCTGGACACCTGTCCTCTAGGCCCCATTATCACAGCATGTAAGTCCACACATGGAAATGTGCCTTTCCTTTGTCTAGCCTAGTGGTTCTCAACCTTCGTAATGCTGCGACCCTTTAATACAGTACTTCGTGTTGTGGTGACCCCAGTCATAAAACTATTTTCATTGCTACTTCAAAACAGTAATTTTGCTACTGTTATGAATCATAATGTAAATATCTGTGTTTTCTGATGGTCTTAGGTGACCCTTATAAAAGGTTCGTTTGGCCCCTAAGGAGTCATGATCCACATGTTGAGAACCACTGTTCTAAAGCCATCAAAAGTCAAGTCAGTGTCCACACACTTCCCTTGATGCGTATTTTGGTGTTTGAGCATCTATAGAGTTGGGAAATTCATATTTCTGTTTCAAATTCCTCACACTGTTGTCGAATCCCATTTTCTCTTGTTCCCAATGGAGAGAAAAAACAGCTGGCTCCCATTCTTTCTAAATTCAATCTTTTCATAAAGACACCTACATCTCTACCCTCTCCTTTCTGGAATGAATAGTAATTCCCCATCAGGAAATTATCTCTTGGGGTGTGCATACTTGTGGCTGTGTCATGTGTATGCATGCTCACTGCATAACATTCTTATTTCCACCAAGCCAAGGCCCAGCATGAAAACAAGCACACCAAACATTATTTTTCATGAATGAAGTTACAGGTTAAATAATGGACACTGAATAAATAGTTAAGAATGATTGTCTTCTAATAGTCACAGGCCAAACTTTACCATATTTTCTTGTACAAGGTATTGACAAGCTGATGCTTTTGGAGAGGCAAATTAAAAATTAAATGATCAGTTTTCAATTTCCTAAAAGGGAGTACCCCCCACCCCTTGCCCTACAATGGAATACGCCATTTGGCATTCCACAGCAGGAGCCACCACTGCTTGGACAAAAATAGATACAGTATAGAGCATTCAGTCAATGGAGTAATCCCATTGTCTGAACATTCTTCTCTGCTTTGTCATTTACATTTTAATAAATCCCAGAATACATCAAGCTGTCCTGGGTTGCACACGTGTGGCTAACCACATGTAGTTTACCATATGCAGCTAGGGAATCCAAACACGAAACTCCTATAATGTGTCAACACTTGCTTTGCATGTATTTTTCCAGGTCTTTCCATGTTACAGAGAGACACTCCCAAATTAAAAATTAATGTTTTTCAATATTATTGCTGTCATCCACTAGAATCTCATTAGAATATTCAGATTTCGTAAGTAAAGGAAACTGTGGGAGAGGGTGAGTGTGCCATTAGGTGATCTTAGAATTGTAGTGCCTGTGAATTCCAAGAAAGATTCAACATATGGCAAGAGGAGGGGAGAGACATATACCTATTTCTTTGCCACTTTCTTTTCTGTTCACCACTAAAGCTTATATAACCACATTTTAAGTCATCTCACATTCCACATTGCCAAAAATGTCAGGCAAGCCAGCCTTAACAGATGTGTATATGTGTGTGCATGAGTTTGCATGTATGTGTGTAATTACTTCTATTAATCTATATGCATAACTTAGTTCATGCATATATTGGCCACCAGCTGCTTCAATGCTTTGAGACATTTGTTTTTCTGGCTTAACAGAGCCTGGTGAGTTTTTATGATGCAACAGAGCTATAGTGATGCAGTGAACCTCAGCCTGTTGAAGATTGTCAAGTGGCATATCTTAAAGAGGATGGAACTCTAGAATAATCTCTACTCTAATAAATACATTGAATAGTAATACATAGCTATATATAAGATATAGTACTATATAGAGTAACATATTACCATTACATATCAATTATAACCATATGTTATATATTAAGTATAATTACATAAAAGATTAATATACATTATATAATATATTATATACCATTATAATATATTATATATAACTATGTATTACTATCTAATAGAGTAGAGTTGTATATACTATGTAGCAGTATATTATATATTAGTAGTATATATTATATATACTAGTAATGTGTATGCATGCTAGTATATAAT